TACCCCTTCCCTTCCGCCCTGCCCCACTAGCTAGGCAGCCTCCGTCGATTTCCCCGTACCGTAGCCACCGAACGGTCTAACGATATACGTAACGCACGACCGGTAAGGGATCCAGGAAAAGATACATTCAGAAAATCAATCCGACCACTTCAGGCTCGTGCTGAGGCGGGCTTTTTTCGCGGGGGACCCGTGGCGCCTCGAGACACGCCGTCGTAAATAACACGCGGAAACGGAACGAACGTCCGTCCGCCGCGGACGTATGGACTGGCTAAGACCGCGAGAATCGGCCGTCGGATGAATTCGAGAAAGAATCTGTCGTAAATAATATTACGAGCTGCGCAAAGGCGACGCGCAAGGAGCGGGAGAGATCGTTCGATTACCGAACGAAAGGGTTCGATGCCCGTTGAGGCACCTAAATATTCCAAGAACGTCATACCGTCATGGCATTCCAGCTTGGACGAATACCCGCGCGAGAGCGCGCGAGACTGATCGCGACCACAACGATTTTTCAATCGGCTTAAAACAGATTTTACGCGCATCTGGAATTCTTTAGGAAAGGAAGGCAGCATACCCGAGCGTACGGATGATACGTGTAAAGCTGGCGTGTCTAGGAACGTGGGATTCTCCGGGACGGTTTTCCGGTTCGCGTAATTGGAGCCCGTTTCTTGTCAAACGGTTTCCTAAGGCCGATTAGTCAGAGCGTTCGTGGCTACCGGCATCTTCTTCTCCTTCCTCTTCTCTCAGCTCTCCCTCTCCTGCCATTAGCGAAGGATTTAAACCGATTCGTTGATTCCGCCTAAAGTGTCCGACAACCCGGCACCAGTGATTCCCGCGAACGTATAAGGTATCCCGGACATTAGCGACGGTGGAAACGCGAATCCATGAAGGTATCCATCTAAGAAACGCCTGATATCCCATTTCTGCCATTCGTTCTACGCCGTAGGAACGTACATTTCAGTAGCGTATCATCTTGTACTAATGCAGAGGCCACTTGCCGCTTTTACTCCTTAAGAAGCTCACGTAACGCATTCTCTCTCTCCTTCGCCTTCCTTTTCCATTTAAATCCTCTTCCCAGTCACTATTCGCCCCTCGCTACATTCTATCTCTCGCTATCTCTTATTTCCTTACTCTTCCATTCCCTATTCTGTCCTCTGCCTTTTTTTCTTCCCTCCATTTTCCGCGCGCCGTGTAACAAGGGTGTGCAGGTGTGCAATGCTTTCTATCTTTGCCCGCGACTACACACGCTCTCTGCCGCGAGCATGGACGCGCCACCTAGGAGCCCGCGGTTTCATACACGGTGTGCTGGCGTGGAATTGCACGCGATGCTTCGCCCACAAGATGCCGGCTAGATCGTTTTCGATAACGGGGCGCTGCCTGGCGCAGGGAAAACGCGGAATTAATCCTGCTGGCGTTTGCCCGCGAGATACCATCTTCGTAAGCGATCGTTGTTCCTTCGTTTACCAATTTTAGTTTCGCGAAGAGGGTTTAATATTTCAGGGCTTCGAGGCATCAAACCGCGGGCAACTGTTTACCTACGCTATCCAATAGGTCGTTGTACGATTACTGGTTGGTTCGTCGGTGTAGAGATGGTGGCGCGCAGCGCGTCCAATTGTTACACCCAGTACGTCCGACGAAATGAGTGCGGCGTGCGCGTGCGCAAGACGGCCTGTGATTAGTGTCCCTGCGCGTCGTCTGCGAGCTTACGTCGTGATCCATGGCCTGTCCCAATCTATGCTGCTAAGGCAAAAGGAAGCAAAGCAAAACGCGGGCAAACACTCGGCTTAACCCAGTGAGGGGGCCTCGGCTACCCAGAATAACTTGTTCCGCATTGCATTATTAGACGGTTATTTCGGAGCGCGTCTTACGACGGTTCCTTCGTACAAGGACCTCGTCTCCTTCCGTCTCTGTCCTTCGTTCTGCGAGTTTCGCAGGGGATAATGAAATTCTTGAGTTGGAAATTTTGTTCTTTCTACTTTCGCGTAATGGATATTGGCTGGATCGTGTGTATTGAAACTAGGATTTGAAAAATTTGTCATTTTAACAATAGAATTACCAAACCTGTCAAAATGAATTTTGTTTTGCCTGATTTTTTGTTTTTGATTTTAGTCTTGACTTCGACCCAGATAGGAAAATAAATCAGTATAATTATTAATTTTCATTACTTATATAATAGGTTGGTAGTTCTAATGTAAATAATCAAATTTTTATGTAGATAAAATTATCGTAGGTTTTGAAGAATTATTTTATTTTTCAATTTTTTAATGTGCTCTACAGTTTGCTATAATATTATGATTAGAATTCTTTTTACAATGTTGTTACATAAGTATGTTTAAAACGTACCAATTCCTAGTATATATAGCGAAAGAAATGATTAGAGAAAGACTATTACATGATTTAATATCCTTCCGACAAAGTATGAACTGCCTCTACCTATTAGTTATTACCGTCATTAATTACAAAATACATAAATCAATTTGAAGTACAATTCATACATCACCGAAGTTACATAAGCTCTAACATCACCGACTCAATATTCTCGACTGCTAAAAGTTCAACACGGAAGCGCCTAGCAAATCGTCACGAAAAACATAACCTATATGAAATTCGTATCAACCGATAATCACTTTATACCTTCACACACTCGTTCTCGGTCTTTTCCACAGAACACTAAACACAAATCATTGCGCCACTTCATTTACTGATTATCTCTCACACGAAACATCTTTCATTTCTGTCAAACAAAACATTGACTCGTTCGTGCATCGAACCAAACAATTGCCTTGAGATGGCGTATCGAGGGCTCGTTACAATGATGCCAGCGCTCGTAGTAGCAGCGGAAACGTAGTTCGTTTGACCAGTATCGCGATGCTCGGCGAAACTGCCCGAATTCCTACGAACACTGAACGACCAATCGGAAAGCAGCTTCCTCCGTTCACGTTCGCGAGTTGAGCATCTCCTCTGTTCCGGGATCCGTTGAGTGCAGCGTAACCGCGGCATAACGCGCTTAATGTTAAGCTCCGACCGTCGGATACATGGGTGTGGCTGGCGCGAATCTATGGGAAATGGCAGAGGTTAGAAACCGTGCACGACGAAGCTTCGACCAGCTTATTGCGCGCGTATGCACGGATCTGATACACCAGTTGCTCGTATAGAGCGTTACATGGCATCCACGGTGCTCACTGCGGGCAAAGGCCAATTCGAGTACAGGCACGACGGGCCAAGAGTCCTCGTCTCTTTTAGAGCATCGAGCCGAGGCTGATGAGAAAGTACGACTTTCCCATAGGCAGCATCCTTTCGGATCGCGTCTTGATACAGTACGCGACTTGCTTGATTAATTCTTCTTCTTTTTATGATGCGTTTGTGGAGAAATTGATGGAGAGACTTTTATACGTACCACTGGGGCGCTTCGGAATATTTTCTGCGTATTTGAGGTTAGGTTATTGGGACGGAACGAATGTCGGAAATATGAAAGTTGAAGTATTTTTTGAAGCGCTGTATTAAACGGAGTGATTTATTTTCATTGACTGTTTCGAAATGGTTACTACTGATTTTCAATTTTTCTCAAGTTTCTTTTTTAACAATGGGCTTGAAAAGAAACGAGTATAGCGGTAAATGAGTAACATTGTTTATAATACTATTGATATAATCTACTTATAATTTGAAAATTATTAGATGATTAAAACTGGCGAGATTTTTTAAGAAAATGTTAACAATCCTGAGTTAACCTAAATGACTCGCGATATCAAGGCGTACGAAACTAAATAAATAAATAAATATATGGTATTTTCGAACCGGAAATCCAATAGTATCACTTATAATAATAATTTTCGATTATTTACAAGCATCGAGCCGAAAATCTAATGTCTGACAGACGTCGCCAAAATAACCTAACTTTGGAAAGTTTCTGACAATGAAACGTAATATATTTTGGCGCCGATTCGTGTAGAACTGGTTCCTGTTTGTGGCATCATGAATCAAAATGTTTACTTAAACATTCTGGAAGATAATTCGCGGAAAGGTGTTAATTAATGTTCGAATTACGTTAGGGTATCGTTGGAGTGTGCTGGCACTATGATCTAAGGGTACCATTACCGTTCTAGCGACCTTATTAACGCGCCGCTATATTTGGTGCTTGATATATCGTGTTGTATATTACGGTTTGTTGTATTATTGCGTACGGTGCAGCTTGTGGGTCTCGAAGTGAGAGTTGCTCGTAGTAATTGTTCAATGATACGAGTTACCAGGAAACGCTGCATAAATGTACCTCAATTTTTGTTTTGGATCTGGTACGGGTAAGAACAAATGCCTTTTTTCTTGTTTTTCGTACTTATGCAACGCAGGACGGATATAATATAGCAATTTAAATTTTCGAGGGGCTAAGGAAAGTGAGCAAAATATTAATGAGAGATATTTTAGTTTGCTATTATGTAAATACTTATACCATATATATATAATTATACTGAGTAATATATATCTATGTACTTTCATATATTATTACATAAATACTTATTGCATATTAATATATGGTACAATTCTATATACATATATTAATATATTAAAATATATTTATATTATATTGTAATATAATTATAATATACTATACTGTACTTTATACATTAATATTAGTTAATTATATATTAATAGTTGAATTATAGTTGTATAGTACTGTATATTCATGTAGTATTATACTATCCAAATATATTATGACAATTCATATGTAGATATTTATAGTGTATAAATCTCTTATATAGCGATATTAATTAAATAATATGTAGCAATAAACTTTCATTCTCAATTAACTAACTCGAGATGGAGGTTTATGGATATATATTATTTAATTTACAATATTAATAAATACTTATACCATGTGAACAAATAAATTAAACAACTGAAGTAACTACTATACAAGTATATTGACATCATATACTACATAAAATATACAAAGTTGCAAAATACATATACAACTATGCTGTTACTCGCAATTCAATTTTCCACCTAGCTTTAAAAATTGTTAACGTTCCACTTTGTATACTCAAGGTGATACCCAGTAAGTATAAGATCATACTCAATTCACCGTCCTTCCCTTTTCCACTCTCAGATTATTCCTATGTCTACATGACTCCATTAAATATATTTCTTCATAACCTAATCACTCCATAGCGATTGAACACTGATCTCCTTAAATAACTCGAAGTGAAAGTAAGGCAACGTTAAAATAGCTCTGAAATCATAAAAAAAACCCGTTTTCATTACAAATACTATGCCTTGACTGACCAATAGCAAAAAAAAAGAATAAAGAAAATCCTCTATCATTCCTCGCTTTCCGTCTGCAACATTATCTCTGCGTATCGCGTTTATTAATAATACGTTATCAAACGACTGTATGCAAGAAGCATCCAAAATTCCGAGACCACCGTGCAATCCATGGATAAAGCAAACCTCGATGCGATAATCTGCGCCAGAGAAGTGATTAATAAACAACAAAATCGTGTAAATTTCTTTATAAAAATTAACTTAATATAATTAATTAACTCGGTTCGTTCTTACCAGTGGCATTAAATTTTGCAAGCGAAGGATATACCGAGCGTGTTAGGGCGATTTCCATAACTCCCTTTTTTCCTTTATACCTCGTTGATCCTTTTGTTCTGTTCGTGATCTCGATTCCGAGTACGCGTTTTAGGGTATCTGGCTAACGTAATCGACGGCTTTGTGTACGTGGCTTCAGAAGAAATTGATGTAGAGGTTAAGTGAAGTGGAGGGGGTAAGTGATTGCAGCTCAGTTCTGACAAGTTGTAAACATCGTTCAAATTTCTGCTCAGATTTCTATACTTGGATTAGATATTCTTCATTCGTTTTCATGGTGCTGAGCCTTTGATAGAATCTCTGCTGTTCCTATCTATAGGAGCTGGTGGAAATTTGTCAGGGTTAATAACAGTGTTTAAAATTGGCTAATCCAAGATAATAATGAATTTTGATCTTGAAACCTGTGTTTCAAAAAACTTGTGTTTTCTATCACAATTATTTAAGTGAATTTTAGGACACCCTATATATCTGAATTGAGAGTTGAGAGCTCGATAATAGTCGTCGATGTTATTCGCCTTATCCTCCGCTATTAACGTGTCGTGTTTTGCATCTGTGATAACTGGACTCGTTTGATGATTATATAATTTCTGTACACGATAGACCTTTTAAGCTGTACATGTACCTTAAGGTTGTGCACAATAAAGTATCTCGCATTCGAATGACACGGAGTCAAAAGGTTAATCAATGCTCAGACAGCTGTCAGAGAAACGAAACCGAGAAAGTATGTAAAAAGCAAGACTAAGAGTGAGTTAAGATCTAGAACTGGATTTCTCTTTGTTCGTGATGGAAAAGGTTACGATTGATTACAGTCCTGAGTACTAATGGAACATGTAAGTACTAATGGTCGATACGAATGAATTGCGTAGTGATAAAGCAACGATGAAACAAAGCAGTACAGAAATAAGAAATTCAAAAATTCTATAAAACGTTAGAAAGTTAGAAATTTAGGAACTTGGGAAACGTAGATAAATCTGTGTGTCGAATTCTAGAGATTAATCTAAGGAATTAAAAAAGTTAAAAAACTAAATAATTTGTTAACTTGGAAAATCTATGTACAATGCTGAGGTCACATAATTAAAATTATAGAGGGTTAAATTGAGGGTTAAATCACAAAATTGAATTTGTAAAGAGTAGAAATACACGTAACCAATTTTTAGGTTATTTAACACGAATTACAAAAAAAAAATTCAGAAATTATAAATTTATTAGTAATCGACTTATGCAGCTTAAAAATATTAAAAAATTTATACGTATGTTTTAAATTCCGCGATTCAGGTTCGCGAAAAATGTATAATTCACGATCAGTATTATGGAAATATACGAAAACTATAGACTGCTGAACGTCGAGTTGTAATAATATCCTGGACTCTAATAGGTTAGCTTCTATCAATAGACATTTTTCGATCAGAGGCACTCCTTGGCTAGGTATTATTAAATGTTAAAACCGATTTAATTCATCTTGTCTATGCTAAACGCGATACATCTGCATCCTTTTCATTGCAATGAATCTAACTCGTTATAGCTAACCTATTTAGACACCTCACCATACATTAACTAAATATGTACACAAGAAACTAACAAATCACATTCAATTAAAATTTATAACACAAACATTAGTTAACAGCCGAACACGTGAGCCTTACAATGATTAACTTTTATTTTTAACCTCAAAAACTACTAAAAGATTAAACTATGTATCTGGATAAAATCTCTTAGAATAACTCATGATGAAAAAGGTTAAGGTAATTTTTACCACGCTTACTTATTATTCCTTACATGATAAATATTAAAAGACCAATATAAAACACGATTGTGGTAATTAAAAAGCAATAAAATTCCCCTAATGGAAGAGGTGCTATCAGAAAAGAAATCATTGTCCACATAACCTACCAGCTGATTTAATTACGCGATTAATTCGCTTGCGTGTTTCGTATCTCGATTCGTAACAGTAATATAGAACTCAAAACCTCTCACCGATTGTCAAATAAACAATTTCTTCATGAAGGAGAGAAACATCTGTAAATGATAAATCAACTCGTTTCAGCTGGCTAGACACCGCCATGTTTCCCCGGGCAGAGTGTTTCGTCTTCCGAGCTCAGACGTCAAGAAATGTCCGGATTCACTCGTTCCCCTTCCCTTCACTCTTTCTACTATAAAGCCGAGCTTTTACGGCCAACTAGAATTAGCCGTTTACCCCCTTCGTCCAGCCCGATTCACCTGGCAAACAATGCACGTGGCGACAAAATACTGCGCGAACACTTATGACACTCTTCCTCTTCTCGTTTTTCTTTTCAGTTTCTGATAAATGCTACTGTATCCTGAAGGTAGATAAGAAACTCGCGCAGCAAATTAACGCGAGATTACTTACCATTGGGAGAGTCAGAGACACCGAAAAAATGTTATGGAAAACTATCGAGCGATACGATCACGTTCAATGTAGTTTACGCTGGAAAACACCAGGCGGCGCGAGGACGCTTTATTTACTTGGAGGATCAGTACGACTGCGAGGGCGCTACGGTATGAGTTCAAACGTGTGTTGTGGCGAGATCTAGTGGCATTTTTCAATATAGAAACAGTGTGAATTCTGACAGTCAAACGGTTAAGGTGCGTCTAAATCTTACATGCATTTGTGTCGACCACTGTCGCGCAGTTGCATGGATAAGCAAGTGTATCGATTCTGTAGCTTTACGATCTCCGTACTTTCTTAACATTCTTCTTTTCCTTCCTTTATTTTATTGAGACCTTGACTGCTTTTCTAGTGTTGTTTTAATAAATCATCTTTCCATGTGCTAGTACAAAAGCATTACGACATAACCTTTTATATCAAAAATGGAAGTTATAGGTAGAAAGGGTAGTTCAAAAAACACATTAGATTGTTCATAATATTTGTACTGTTTTTAAATAAGAAAATTACCTTCTTTTGAAAATTTTGACGATAATACGTTGTTTTTCTGTTTTTCGTCCTCGTATTGAAGAACATTAATTCAAATATTTTTAAGCTGGCTAGGTAGGGACTGCTGTATTGCTCGATTTGTCTTTGTTTGCTTATTTTTCTCGCGAACGTCCAAGTGGTCTTCGCGTGTGTCGTCAAGACTATAGTCGAGTGTTATAGCTATGTCGTAAATTATTGTATCTAGCTACGACCCCGATAGATGGCCAAAATATCCCGTGATGTCGTTGATACTTAGGGCCATCTGTAGTTTATAATTGGAGGTATATTGTCAACGAGTAAAGCAGAACAAATTTTCAACTCTTTATTATTTAAATAATAATTCTTTAAATAATATCATTATTAATTTCTCCTGAATATTTCGAATATTTAAAAGTATATGGTTTACCTTTCCATAAACTATCGTCAACGATTTCCGAAAATAATAAAAAATAGAATCACATTTTTTCAATTAAGATTTTGGTTTTTGAGAAAAATATAAAAATTCGTCAGTGTATTGGTGTACTAATAATACAGTATACTTGTATACTAAATGTGAGTTTCGACTTATTGGACTTGATTCTTTTCTTTCGATTTATTTTTTCATCTAAAATTACTACCGGTTGCTTATACCACGATATTAAGGACACCCTGTATATCATCCATTTTAAATACAGATATTCATTGTTGATATGGTAAAGAATCGTGAATTGTTACATCGTATCGCTTCACTGGATGATATTCAACGGTGTGATACAATAGGAGAATACACGCCAAGTATAAATGCGCCTTTACGTTATCGCCTAATCGTTAGGAGATTACACAAGCGGCGGGAGGGGGGTTTCGCACCATGCCGCCATTGTCGCGCTGTGAAAGTTCCTTTTTAAATTGAAATCGACTCCCGTTCTATCCGATTTACGTAATGCGCTGAGTCAAACGGGTTAGCGAGGATTAATTAACGTAACTCCGGATAATGGTCGGATTTTGCACGATTGACTGTGACATTCCAAGGTTCCGGCATCGACTGATGCCCCCTGGGACAACTTTCTGTGATTCTCGTGATTTCATGTGCTTTTACTTTGCACTGGTATCGAACGTTGAAAGTTAATAAACCGAAGATCGCCATACAGGTTAACACAAGTGAGTAAAATAGAAATTGTATATCATTAATAAAAATTTCGTAGAAAATTTTTTTTCCACCGTACAATAGAACTCTTCATAAAAATCACATTCAGTGTAACTCTTCTCATGTTGATATCTTCGCGGATTCGTAGATCCAATTGCTAAATCCGAAAATTATTGTCGAGTCTCGCGTTTACTTCTCGCAGAACACTGACTGATTGCATTTCGCTTACGGTAATTGTATTTCCAATTGATTTGCGTCAATTAACTTAATCGCTTTTATCGATTTGCTTTTTGTCATGATGTCCCTTACGTGTTAATGCCGACTGATTTGTAACACGGCCAGATCCCTAAATAAATGCTAAATGATTTAACCCGCTTTAAAACTCGGCAGAAAGAGCACGTCGGCTGAGTAGTTATTGAAAATGGACCACTGTGCGACGCATCAATTCATGTTTTTTTCCATCGCACAGTGGGCCAGGAGGCCCTAAAAACTGGCCAAATTCAAAAAGTGCGAGGATTCTTGTAAATGTTGACTGTGTCTCGTTTCTCGGATCTCTGACTCCGAATCTAGCGTTAAAACTTTAAAATTCGAGTTGACCGATGATTTTCGTCATTTAATTGTAGTATCCATAAGGGTTAGTCATCAATGACCGATGATCTTCCTCGCCGTTTTCGGCCAATAGCAGTGTCTGCCTGTGATCAAGGAAGTGTCAGCGGAATTAATTAGCCGTGAGGATGTAAACACGTTGTGCCTTCTTTCCTCGAACGTACTATACCAGGACGGTGCAAGCGAGAGCCGAGCCGCCATTATGGTGCTCCTAATTAAACTCGGAGGCGACGTCCAGTTTAAAACGATACAGACCTCAAGCTGCAGAGCTGTCAAAAGGTATAAAATTCCTTCGTGCATCTATATAACATCATGCAGAGACCGAATCAGGCTCGTATTACCTATAATTTATGGTAATGCATGTATGAATATATGAATACACGAGGAATAATACATGATAAATTGGCGGCCATTCAAAGTGTACCGTGTTTACATATTTATACACGTTTAATCCAATTTTAGTATCGGTCTCTCGATTTACAAAGCTGTCTGAAGGGATCTGCGTAACGATTTAATTTGTATTCAGACGGTAGTCGAGTGTTTATTTTGGGTAAGCGTAAAGGTGATCATATTGTTTCTGGTTAATTAGAAAATTGAGGTTAGGCCTGTGTAACAGGTTGGTTTTTAAACGTTTGCAGGTGTGTCGCTTTTTTGTGAAAGACTGTCGAGGGTTCCACTATGACTGGATGAGAGTTTGAATGGCACTCGAGGATTATTCGAGTGTTTAAATCTGCATAACTCCTTGAACGCTTTCGCATAGCTATGAAAATTTTTCTTCATCGCTGAAGATCGGATTGAAGGTGAATTTTCATTTTTGTCAAGCCCCTAAGTACTTAGGATTTTGTAAGTAGTCTTCGAAGTATCTTTAGCAGTCTATTGTGATACACAATGTAACATCCACCTTCAAAAATACTCTCCCCCCTCCCCCTCGCTCTGTCTAAACCATCTTTAGAAACTCATATATTCTTAAACAGAAATGCAGCAATTCTCCAATTCCTCTACCAGACACTCCAAGTTCCTCTCAGAGCAGTCTAATTTATTATACGAATTCGAAGTAATTCTAATAA